AACTACTGGTGGGCAAAATCAAATGCCTTGACGGGCCAATCTTGGCCCGCGGGCCCCACTTTGGGCGCCTCTATATTACAGGGTTTCAAACTTTATAAGGAGTGTCTTTAAGTAAACAGAATTAGAATAAATATTCTGTGGATAAGCCAATGTTTATGAAGCAGATATCACAAAAATAAATAATCATGCAGACTTCAAAGCATTTAAAAAAAAAACTATCCATGCTGGCATAAAAGGATAAAGTTAAAAAGAAAAAGCGATATGAATTTGTATTAGCTTTAAGAATACCGTCTGTGCCTTTATGAACGTATCCGTTGGAGAGCGGAGGCATGAGCTGCTGGTGGCTGCCGGCCTCAGAGTTACTGTAGCCTTCCTGAGGCTCTGACAAAGTCCCCTGAGAGGACAGGTAGCTGGGAATATCTGCTGGCAAATTCATTTCATCTGTAGCAAAAACACCAATTGTGATCATTTTCTGAGTCCCACCAAATAAACCATGGATTCACGAGAGCTTTGAATTACTAACCAGTGTTGGTGATGCTGTAGTCCTCGCTCTTCCTGCGCATGTGATAGATGACAATAACCCACACCAGCGACGTTCCCACCACGCAGCACACCACCACGATCACCACTATGCCCACGGTGGTCCAGCCGTCCTGGTTGTACACAGCTCCGGTGTCGCAGTTGGGCGAYGGTGAGACGCTGAGGTAGATGTGGCCGCGTTCTGTGCCGAGCGTGTTGGACATGATGCAGGTGTACTTCCCAGCATCGGTCGGCCCGGCGTCGACGATAATAAGGAGCTGATTGGCGGCGGCGAAAAAGTGGCGCTCCGTCAGCACCAGCGGCCCGTCGTCTTTGGTCCAGTTGAGGCGTGGGGCAGGGCTGCCTCCAGCTATGCACTGGAGGACTGCGGTCTCACCGCGAGCCACACTTCGGTCTTCAAGAGGCCGCATGAAGGAGGGAGTTTCTGGAAAAGAAATTTATTAATGAGGTTTGATTCTAACATTTATCTCAGATGGATGTGTGAAGTGATGGTTCTTATTAAAATATTATTTGAGATACTCACCTACATATTAAAAAAGAAAACCTGGAGCTAGGAAGTTTTTTTTAAACCACAGCCACTAAGAATATTTAAATCTTGTTTTTACTTTGCAAAAAGTTAAAAATGGCAAGATGGCAACTAAGTGGYGCTTGGAGCTTCTAGTGAGTAACAAACAAAATGAGCATCCAATTTGAGCACTGTGACTCAGCTAAAATGACCCATAATATATATATTTTTTAAATCGGTAATATCATCTGTAAATTAGGAYGGTGACTCACCCAGGACAGTGAGAGTAGCGTTTGCTGACAAACTGCCAGCTGCATTTTGAGCGGTACAGCTGTACACCCCCATGTCTTCGGTTTTAACGTTGGCAATGAAGAAGATGTCATCGTCCGGCATCACGTGCATCCTGCGCTCTCGGGCCGCTGGGAAGTCAGTGCCTCCATCCTTCTGCCAGGCGATCTGTGGTGATGGATGGCCCTCGGCAGCACACTCCAGCCTGGCCATGGTCCCAGTGCGGATTGTTAGATCCATGGGAGTTTTAAGGAAGGATGGCATCTCTGAAACAGAGACGACAAACTAGTGTTGGACTATTGAAAAYTAGAGAAAGTGCATTTCCTGCGACAATGCTAGTGTGAAGGCTTCATGCTGAAAACTTCAGCTGAAAGCTGCTGAAACTGAGCTGAAAATATTTAAWAAGAAAAGTGTTAAAGTGAGCTCACTTTGAAAAGATTAACGAAGCAAAAAATAAAAAAGCCCAACTTTGTAGAAAAACAGTAAAAAGCACAAATTTCATTAAAAAAACAGCTAAAAGCTAAGAGCTAAAATAGCTGAATATAGCTTAAAACATCTGTAAGAAGCATAAACAGCACTAGGTAGCAGTTAAAAAGTATTAAAAGTAGAAAATTTAGAATTTGTTTTGTTTTTTGATTATTATTGTTTGAAATTCATTTTGAAAAAAAAGGGGCAGATATAAGATTTTTTTCTTCTTTCTGCCTCCTTTCATTTCAAATGTGATTTTTTTCTTTATTGTGTATAAATTTTTTATTTTTGATGAAATGAATAAATGAATAAATAAATAAAAAGCATATTAGAGCTAAAATTAGCATAAAATAAGCTAAAGGTAGCAGCCACAATTTGAAATTAGAACACAGTTGAAATATTTATAGTTGAAAAATAGCTAAAACAGGAAAAAAAAAAGCATAAAAATGATCATTTGTAGTAAAATAACTAAAACAGCTGAAATTTCAGTAAAACAGCTAAAGTAGCTGGAAATCATTTAACTAGCATAAGGAGCACAAGTTTGCTCAACTTAGCTGAAAAAAGTTGTTATAGCTACAAAAAAATGTCTAGTTAGCTTAGAAAAGTKAACTTCAGCTAATAGCAGCTAAACAAAGCTTAGATTTCTGCAAATAGCTGAATATAGCAGAARGCATCTATAAGAAGCATAAATAGCACAAAGTAGCAGAAAAAAGCACAAAAAACACAGAAAGAAGCAGAATTTTTACTGAAATATCAGAAAAAAAAACTAAAATTTTCTAAAAAGTAGCTAAAATTAGCACCAGAAAAAAAGAGCCTAACCAGAACAAAATGTGTAAGGTGCTGTAAAGATTTAGAAACATTTTAAAGGATTTAAGGATGTTGAAAACAGCTCCATTCATTTTCAATGGCAAAAAGTGGCTAAAATAAGTCAAATAGCTAAAAAAAGTATAATAAGTTGAAATACCAAAAGTCACATGAATGAGCTGAACGTTTTGATATATGAATTGTTGAAATGGCACAAAAATTGTGGAACGAGTTAGATGCCCAAAAACACACAGAAGAAAAACTGATCTCAATAGTGTGAACACGAAGCATTTACACATTACTGCCCACACTTCATGGTGGTGTGCAATAAAAAAAAGAGAAGAAAAACAAAAGACATCCTCACCATTGACTGTAAGYCTGGCCCTGTTGGAGTAGTTGGACCCAAAGTGATTGGACACAACACACTGGTAAGAGCCCTCATCAGTGAAGTTGACGTTAGGGAGGTGAAGCACGGTGGTATAGATGAGCTCTCTTTCTTGGTATCTGGCATAGTTCTCCACTTCTGCGTCGTAAAGCACCTCCCCGTCYTTCCGCCACGCAGTGGTCATTGTGGAGTCGCTGCTGCTGGATGCGATGCAGCTCAGCGTCACGTTGTTGCTCCGTAAGGCCACAGCCGTCTCTGGGTGAGTTGTGATCTGAGGCTTGGGGAAATCATCTAAGCAGGAGGAAGAGGGACAAAATAAAATCTGCTGATCTCCTAAATAAGACCTTGTAAGAGTCCTATGCTTTACTGTAAACATTAATAAAGCTCAAGTTTACTCAGCTGAAGCACACAACTAGCAACAGGGCCATGCTCTGATTTATCTGCATATTATAATTAGTTTAAAGGTTCATAACTGACCACAAACGAACTCCTCGGGGCTGACTGACAGGACGCTGCGACCCAGGAGTTTGGCAGGATGGGCACAGGAAGCCGAGACGGATTGATGGAACTGTCTGTCTGTCAACCAGGGACCCAGCCACTGCATATGACAGTCACACAGCAGGCTGCTCGTGTTCAGGACACTGAAAACAGGAAAACATTACTAGACATCAGTTTATTCTAATTTAGTAATTAAACAAATCATTATTTTGAGTGCATATGCAATTTAATGTAATGTTGAACTGCATTTTTGTTCTTGTTGGAAAGCACATTGTGTTGCTGTCCATAAAACCTGCTACACAAATGAAGTTTAACTGGACTATAGAGGCTTCAGAGTAGGGCTGCGCGGTATATGCTGTAGCCGGTAGAAACCATATGAAGTTAGCCTACGGTGGAAATTTAACCTCTATCGCCCTGTCGTCAGTAACCTCATCGCACCTGTGTCAACAGGGCTGCGAGCGCAGAGACAACTGAGCAGGAGGAGTTCCAAATATAATGAAGAAATATAGTGTTTTAAAACACATAGAGAGAGAATAAATCCTCAAAATTTACCCCTCCCGTTGTAGAAATGTTCTGTCGTGCTGTTGTGTTCCCCCCGCTGCACGTCACACAGAGCGAAGCTTTAACAAAGATTTTTTTACCCCCAAGTTGTTCGAGAAAAAAAAAAAACGTGTTTTTATGTATTGTTACCCACAGATGATTGATAGATAGATAGATAGATGATAGCTAGATGATAGATAGATAGATGATAGCTAGATAGCTAGATAGCTAGATAGCTAGATAGATAGATAGATAAAACATTCTT